CGTGAAGTGTTAATACCACTTTATAATGCCTCAGTAAGGCCATGTCTGGAATACTGCATCCAGTTTTGGTCACCATAATGTAAAAAAGATGTTGAGATTCTAGAACAGGGGTGTCAAACTTGCATCGTTACAGCAGCGTCACGTGATGTATTGAGATTTTTTTTTCATCTTCGCTAAACTGGGCAGGGGCAGGGTCAGCATGTGACGCACCTGGCCTGCGCGCTGCAAGTTTGACACCCTTGCTCTAGTCTAGAAAGAGTGCAGAGAAGAGCAACAATGATGATTAGGGGACTGGAGGTCCAACAATCAACCAATGGAACAGCCTGCCTTGGAAGTTGTGGGAGCATCCTTACTTGAGACTTTCAAGAAGACATTGGACTGCCATTTGTCAGAAATGGTGTAGGGTCTCCTGCTTGAGTGGAGGGTTGGACTAGATGACCTACAAGGTCCCTTCCAACTCTGATTATCTGTTATCTGAGGTTAAAACATATAAAGAACCCTTGCTGGAATTGGGTATGTCTAGTTTAATGAAAAGGACTAAGGGTGACATGATAGCAGTGTTACAATATCTCAAGGGTTGTCACAAAGAAGAGGAAGTCAAGCTATTCTCCAAAGCACCTGAGGGCAGGATAAGAAGCAATGGATGGAAACTAATCAGGGAGGGGGTTGGACTAGAAGACCTCCAAGGTCCCTTCCAACTCTGTTATTCTAGTCTAGTCTAGTCTTTTGGATTAAGTCAGTTCTAAGGAAGTCATTAAAAAAGGATTAAAATGAATTTGATTCAGACAGTTTCTTGATAGAATAGGCCATTTGAGGATGTGTTATTTGGCTTGTCTTCCAAAACCCTACAGTTGTTAGAGGTCTTGGAAGATTCATTTTCAGATTCTTTATAAAAAGTTGATATAATTGATATTATTTAGAAAATTTAAGGAATAATGAGTTTAAATGTCCTGTCCTAGTAAACCAGCAAAAAGGTTGCATTAAACAATCCATAATTAATATTTTAAAATGAAGTTAATAACAAAAACATGTATTTACTGGTGTTTACTGGATGTTTCAAGGTTGGTTATATAATCATCTGGCTGTTGTAACTCAAGAGATACGGTATTTGGTCTCATCCTAGTATTCTTATAATTGGGGTGAAAAATAACAGGATAGTTGATATGTCTGATTGTCCATATTAATTCTTGTATATACAGTATACAAGATATATTTGTATACACCTATGAAGGGGTATTTAGCAGTGTCTCCTATATTTGGAATCTATTTATGTATTTTTCAGGGATAGCTAAATTAATGATTATTCTGTGCAATACTGAAAGGAGACAGGTAAGCAATGCCTGACATGTATTATTTGCCAAAGTTTGAATTAATGTTTTTTTCTGCTAAAGGGCAAAGACAATTTTCAAGCAATAAGGTCATAATTTTTGAAATTGCTAAATTGCCCTGTTCAACAAAGCTGTTAGCTTTATGGATGTTCAGACCTTCAAAAGATGAATGGAATTAGACATGGAATAATCAATTAGCAAATGTAATTTGTGACAGAATGTAAGACATATATCTGTATCTATATATCTATATTGTCTATATCTGTATATCTCTGTCATATACATCTATATCCAATTAAGTTTGTGCTGAATGCAGCATCTCTCTCTCTCTCTTTCATTATTTAATGAAAATAAGGACTAGCATTGGGATGCATCAATCGATATATAATTTTCAAACCAAGGGAAATATGGATAGTCCTCAACTTATGATCACAATTGAGACCAAAATTTCTGTTGTTAAGTGAGACATTTGTTACGTGAGCTTTGCCCCATTTTATGACCTTTCTTTCCACAATTGTTAAATGAATCACTGCCACTATTAAATTAGTAACTTGGTTGTGGAGTGAATGTGGCTTCCCCATTGACTTTGCTTGCCAGGAGGTTGCAAAATGGGATCACATGACCTTGGGATATAGCAATGGTCATAAGCATGAACCAGTTGCCAAGCATCTGAATTTTGATCACATGACTATGGGGATGCTACAAAGGTCGTAACTCTAAAAAACAGTCATAAGTCACATTTTTGTTGTAACTTTGAATGGTCAGTAAATGAATTACTGTAAGATGAGGACTACCTGTAAGAGAATAACAGAATAATGGAAGGTACCTTGGAGGTCTTGTAGTACAACCTCACGCTCAAGCAGGAAACCCTGTACCATTCTAGACAAGCGGATGTCCAATCTCTTCTTAAAGACCTCCAGGGGCAAAGTCAGTGTTACAGCACTTACAACCTCTGCAGGCAAGTCGTTCCACTGATTAATTGTTCTCACTGTCAGGAAATTTCTCCTTAGTTTTATGTGGTTTCTTTTCTTGATTAATTTCCATCCATCACTTCTTGTCCTCTTTTCAGGTGCTTTGGAGGATAGATTTTAGAACACTGCTATTGTATCAGTAATTGATCTACACAGTGGTGGGATTCAAAAAAATTTACTACCGGTCCTCTGGGTGTGGTTTGGTGGGCGTGACAGGGAAAGGATACTGTAAAATATCCATTCCCTCTCCATTCGTGGGGGAAGGTTACTGCAAAATCCCATTCTCTCCCCACCCCATCAGTGGTGGGATTCAAAAATGTTTACTACTGGTTCTGTGGGGGTGGCTTGGTGGGTGTGACAGGGGAAGAATACTGTAAAATCTCCAACCAGAGGTGGTATTTGCTGGTTCTCTGAACTATTCAAATTTTTTGTTACCGGTTCTCCAGAACTGGTCAGAACCTGCTGAATACCACCTCTGCACCCCACTAACCTGCTTTTCAGCTCCATTCTCCTGTGCAGGGCAACAAAAGAAGACCCAGCTGATCAAGTGAGACTTGGGAGGTCGAGAATAGGTGGGGGTGGAGCCAGTCAGAGGTGGTATTTGCCACTTCTCCGAACTACTCAAAATTTCTGCTACCGGTTCTCCAGAACTGGTCAGAACCTGCTGAATACCACCTCTGGTTCTACTTTGTCATCTGCTCTTCACATCCCACTTTAATTATAATATCTAGTTCTAGGAATCACCTTTAAGAAGAATTCAGAGAAATGGAATAAGTTTAGAGAAGACCAATCAAGATGATTAGAGAACTAGAAAGTTCCTGTAAGGGAGTATAAAGGAGTAAGTTTAGCTTTAGTTTTAAAAATGTGAGGGAGGAAGCAAATATGCCTAAGATTTTGAAGACTCTGATACCAAACATGATTATTATTAAAATACTGTGCCAAGTTCCCCAATTTCTAAGAGAAATAGATGGTATCTGAGAGAAAAAAAATCATTTATATCAGTCTTATTCCTCAGACTTTCACTTAAGCTTATAAGTGTGCATTTTATTCCTAGAGAGAGACTTGTGGCTGTGCCCCCGGTAAAATCTGGCTACTGAGTCTCAGGCAAATTTATTGACTGTCAATCAGGTTACCTGTATATCACTCTGATATCAGAAATTTGTAGCATCCCAGGTGGCTCAATTAACTCAAAAAATGAATCAACTAGCTGGGCATGTGGGTAAGAATTTGTCCCCAAAACTGACTTCCATATCTGTCTACTTGAATCTAGTAGACATGATGCCCAAAATAACAGCTCTCCAAGTGAACACCTTCCTCCCCTTGTGACACCTACTATGGAAATTGCAACAAATTTACTACTTCCTTGCGAAGAGCAGCTTATGTAGATTTCAAGGACCTGTGGATTTCCCCATAGGCTGATCTTGTTGAGGAGGGTGATGGTACTTCCTAAGAAGCATGGACAAAAGAACTGGGATTACATAGTAGGAGATAGAGGATGCTACCAGTAAAATTATCAACTTTCTTTGATATTCCTTATCAACTCTAAGTCAATATTCCCACTTAGCCCCCCAAAAAGGAAATAAATGTTGGTTGCTGAGTAAAGTACAAGATGACTAAGGAGAGATATACTCTCCAAATACCTGAAAAAATGTTACATAGTGGAAAATCAAGAGCTGTTTTCTCTCATTCCACAGCGTGGGGCAAATAAAAATACTTTTATGTAATGTCTTTGGAGATTCTCAGTCATCCAATCATGGTTGTTCCAAAGGTGCTTTTTCAAGAGGCAACTGTACTGAGGTGAAGAAGCTTCTTGGATGAGAAACCAAATGTTTTCAAAGAACAACCAGAAAGTTCAGTTGTAATCATAACGTGTGTTAAGTTTGAGCAATGAGAGGCTGAACCAGAGCATGAGTGCAACAATACTTTATTATAACAATAAAGGGCTGACCGTGCTTGCCACGCCTGGAACTGGCTCGCAGCAATCAGCAACTGGTTGGACCCCGCAGCCTGCTTTTATAGCTGGCTGCTGGAGAGAATCAACCAATGAGGAAAAGGGGAAGAACGCCCACACAAAGTGAGTGGACCTGAGTGAGAACTCCTAGAGTCCTCAGGACATAACACCCCTTCCCCCCAGATGCGAACATGCATAGTCCTTGAGGTAGACAGGGGGTTTGTGTTGGCACCCGGAACGGCGCAGCTCGGGAACATTGTCTGTCCATTCAGAATCAGTCTGTGACGGTTGAGCCGGCAGCGAGTCGCCAACGCGCTCTCCGGATTGGGCATCCTCGGGACTCACAGGGCTGGATACTGGGGGCGAGTTCCCGTGGGTTATATCAGGTTGGTCAACTCTCGGGGCGCTGTTGTCTGAGTTCGGGCTGACCGGAACGGCTGTTGGTGCGGCCTGGCCATTGGGAGCGATGAGGCTGAGAGGCGGATGAGGCGGTTCCCCTTCGTCTGGTGACCCTGGATTTCTGCTGGCAAGGGTGCTGTGGCGCCTCCGCAGTTGGTCTATGTGCCTCCTCCAGACGCGACCATCCTCCAGCCTGACCCTATACGATCTCGGCCCGGTGATGGCGATGACCTCGCCTGGCATCCATAGTGGGTCCCCAGCGAAATTCCTCGCGAATACAGGCTCCTGTAACACAAAATGTCTAACCCCCGAAGTGGAAGCGAGGGGAGAGTCAGGGCAGTATTGTGGGTGAAGTCTGTCCAATACAGTCCTCAGGCACCGGCCCATCAGGAGCTCTGCTGGGGACTTATTGGTGACTGAACAGGGGGTTGAGTGCTGGCTCATTAGGAACCGTGAGAGTTTGTGGTGCCAGTCATCCCTGCTGAACCTGGCGAGGGCTTCTTTGGTGGTCCTGACGGCTCTTTCCGCCAACCCATTACTGGCAGGGTGAAATGGGGCTGTGAAAATGTGGCGGATGCCCAGGTTGGCAGCAAAACGGCTGAACTCTATTGATGCAAACTGTGGGCCATTATCGGAGACGATGGAGTCGGGTAGTCCGTGCGTAACGAACAGGCGCGTTAACACGTTGGTGATTGCTAGTGTGGTGGTCGTGGATAGCTGTGCTACATCAATCCATTTGGAATAAGCGTCCACGACCACTAGGAACATCTTCCCATGCAAGGGGCCGGCCAGATCGATATGGATTCTAGACCAAGGGCCGCTGGCGCTCTCCCATCTGGTAGGGGTGGCAATGGGGGGAGCAGGACGGGATTCCTGACAGATGTTGCAGGAACTTACCCAATTGACAATGTCCTCGTCTAGACCCGGCCACCACACGTAGCTGCGTGCTAATGCTTTCATTCTCACGATGCCAGGGTGTCCTTCGTGCAACGCCTCCAGGACTCGGGTACGCAGCGAGGTCGGAATGACCACTCGAGTGCCCCATAGTAGACAACCCTGCAAACTGGACAGCTCCTGCATGCGAGTCTTAAATGGAGTTAATTTGTTATCAACGATGCCACCCGGCCACCCACTCCTCACCCAGTCGAGCACCTGGGCGAGCGTTTGGTCTGCCTTGGTTTTGGCGGCGATGTCCAGGGCGGTGATGGGCAGGTCCAACTGTGTGATCTCGAAAATGGCGTTGACAGGAGCGGGGTCTTCAGCCGGCGCGGGTAAGGGGCAGCGACTGAGAGCGTCGGCATGGGACAGTGTTTTGCCCGGGCGGTGAATAAGTTTGTAGGAGTAGGCCGCTAGGAAGAGTGTCCACCTTGTCATTCTAGGGGAAAGGACCTGAGGGGTCTGTTTGTCCCCGGCCAGTAGGCCCAGGAGGGGCTTATGGTCCGTAACCAGTTCGAAAAAATGGCCAAAAAGGAATTCGTGAAACTTTTTCACGGCCGCAACAGCTGCTAGGGCTTCCTTGTCGATCTGGCTGTAGTTGCGTTCCGTGGCCGAGAGCGTCCTTGAGAAAAAGGCGATGGGAGCCTCGGCGCCATTGGGAAGTCTGTGACTAAGGACCGCCCCAATTCCAAAAGGGGATGCGTCTGCTGCCAGTACTAAAGGAAGGTTAGGGTCGAATTGGATAAGCACCGCCTCTGACGTGAGTAGGGATTTGACGGCGTTAAACGCCTGGTCTTCTTTGTGCCCCCAGTGCCACGGTGACTGTTTGTCCAATAATCTGTGAAGGGGTTCGGCTACTGAGGCTTTGTGGGGCAAGAAGGATGCGTAAAAGTTCAGCAGCCCCAAGAAGGCTTGCAGCTCCGTTTTGGAGGTTGGAGTGGGAGCCTCGTGGATTGCCCTGACCTTGGACTCCAGGGGGTGAATGCCAGAGGCGTCAATTTTATAACCCAGAAAGTCCACCTGTCTAGTGGCAATGGCGCATTTTTCTTTTTTTAACTTGAGGCCATGCTGTCTGAACCTCTCTAACACTGCTCGCACTCTCTGGAAAAGTTGGGGTCTGTCCCTGGCCGAGACCAAGATGTCGTCGAAGTAGGGTACTACACCAGGGAGGCCCTGTAAAATCCGCTCCATGAGGGACTGAAAAATCCCTGGGGCAACACTTACGCCAAATTGGAGACGCTTGCATCGGAAGGCACCCCTGTGAGTGACGATGGTCTGAAGTTCCGCTGTTTGGTTATCAACAGGGAACTGTTGATACGCTTGAGACATGTCCAATTTAGCGAAAATACTGCCCGGCTCGAATGTGTGCAATAAGTGCTGAATGACGGGCACAGGGTAGGCGCTAACTTGTAAATATTTATTGATTGTTGTCTTGTAGTCCGAGCAAATTCTCAGGCTACCATCTTTTTTGAGGGGCATGACGATGGGCGTCTCCCACTTGGCGAAATCTGTTGGCTCAATGACCCCTTGTTTTAATAGTTTATCCAATTCAGCGTCTAGTTTTGGTCGAATAGCAAATGGAACTCTACGCGGTTTTAGTCTGATTGGGACTGCCTGGGGGTCAACTGTGAATGAGATGGGGGTTCCGTTATAACACCCCAGCTCCTCGCTGAACACATCTGTGAAATCAGCGAATAAGGAGTCAGTGTCTAAGGTTGAGACAGCATGGACTCCTGTTAGCCCTAGGCCGAGGTGGGGAAACCAATCGAGCCCTAATAAGGTGGGTAAATTGCCGTTAACTACCACTAGAGGTAGGTGACCTTTAAAAGTTCTAAAACTGACAAAGAACTTGCCTCTGCCGATCACAGGAATGGTCTTCCCCTGGTAGTCCTTCAGGCCGAACTCGCATCTCTGAAGCCGGGTGGTAGATAGGCTGGGGTGGAGTCTTTTGAGGGTGTTCCACGAAATTATTGAGAGCGCTGACCCTGTGTCAACCTCCATGTGGCACGGTTTACCTTCTAGGGAAACGGAGAGAGAAATTTTACTAACAGTGTGGCAAGTACGCTTGGCAAGGCGGTGCGTGCGACAGTTTAATACTTGCCTCTGAGGTCCCGAGTGCGAGGGAGGGAGTCTGTGTGCAGCGCTTTGGGGGGTTTGGCAGACTCTCGCGATGTGCCCCCTTTTATGGCAGTTGTTACAGGTGGCTCCTTTAAACTTGCAGGTGGCCCTTTGATGCGATCCCCCACAGGCTAGGCACAGTGTGATGTGTTTGGGTGGACCGGTGTTTTCTTGTTTGGCCCCTACCTGCGGCCGTTTGTCGTAGGCGAGGCGGTGGACGTCGTTTTCGTTGTTGAGGGTTTCCTCTGCTACCACCTCCTCGGAATGGACTGGGAACGATGCCAGCTTGGTGCTTGGGCCCTGTATTTAGGTGGCTGAGTTCGTTGCCAGCTCGGCTGCCAGGGCCTCCTCGACCGCTTGTGCGAGGTTGAGGTCTTTTTTTGCTAGAAGGCGCCTCCGTAGGTTGAGGTCCTTGACCCCACAAACTAATTGATCGAGGAGCATGTCCTCCAGGTATGTTCCAAACCCGCAGTGCAGAGCTGCTGTTCTGAGGGCGGCCATATATTGATTGATGGTCTCCTTACTCGATTGCTTCCTCATACGGAAAGTGAACCTCCTGGCGATCTGTGAAGGCCTGGGAGTGTAGTGGTTAGTGAGGATCTCAAGCAACTCGGACCACGGGACGTTTTTCAACTCTCTAGGAGCTACGAGTGCTGCGGCAGTATCGTAAACGGTGGCTCCGCAGTAGATTAGGAAATAGGATTTTTTCCGATGCTCTCCCGCATCTGCCAGGCCGACCGCATCGATGTAATGGTTGAAGCGGTTCTTATACGATTCCCACTTCTCTTCGTCTGGTTTGAACGCCGGGAATACTGGGTTGGAACTCATGGTGCTGGGAACGGCTGGGCTACCTGCGGAAAAAATCTCTCTGGGGACAACGGGCGCTCGTGGGTTGCAAGTGAAATCAGCTCTGGAGAGGGTTTTTTGCTATCCTCTCTTTCTCTCTGGGTTAACCACGTTGGCTGTTAGCCGTTGGAGGTGTCTAGATTCGCGCCAGCGTGGGCGTTAGTGACTTACTACAGCGCTGTGCTGTGTCTCTCTTGGTTTGAAATTCAAATGACACCTGTTTGAATTTCGCGCCTAATACTGAGCGACTGCGGCTCGCAGCGCTTCACTTTTCCCGTAGCTGGGCTAACAAGCGGCTACAGACGCTTCTAACTTTTGAACCAGACCGCTCTCTCTGGCTGCGGATCAACGTTCGCTCTTTTTGTTGGCTGACCGCTCTCTCTGGCTGCGGTCAGCGTTTCTCTTGTAGTTGGCCGATCGCTCTCTCTGGGTTGCGGATCGGTGACTAGTGACTCAGCGGTTGCATGGTGCTTCTGGTAGCCATCCCACCCTCGTCGCCAGTGTTAAGTTTGAGCAATGAGAGGCTGAACCAGAGCATGAGTGCAACAATACTTTATTATAACAATAAAGGGCTGACCGTGCTTGCCACGCCTGGAACTGGCTCGCAGCAATCAGGAACTGGTTGGACCCCGCAGCCTGCTTTTATAGCTGGCTGCTGGAGAGAATCAACCAATGAGGAAAAGGGGAAGAACGCCCACACAAAGTGAGTGGACCTGAGTGAGAACTCCTAGAGTCCTCAGGACATAACAATGTGACTAACCTCTTAGCATTAAGAGCAGCTCAGCATGAGAAACAGTTACCCAGAGTAATGATGGGTTCCCCTTCATGGCATTCGAGTGAAAGCTAAGCTGCTATATGGCCAGTGGTGTATTAACCATTAAACAGACCAAGCACGTGCTTAGGGCACCAGGCCCCAAAAGGGCACCACAATGTTGAGAATATGGCTTGATTTGTACACTATGTACAAAGGAGGGGGCACCAAGATTTGTCAGTGCTTAGGGCACCGGTGAGCCTTAATCCACCACTGTATATGGCTAATATATTTTTCTTTGAATTCTTATGCTGAGTAGGGACTGAGTATACAGTCAGCTGTAACTGACTGAATTCAGTCATTTAAATGATTCCTTCCAACTTCAGAATTCTTCTGAACAAATCCCCAACATTCCTTTCTGCCACAGAAAGCACCTCATTCTGACCTGGAACATTCCATCTTCCAAATAACTCAACCCCATGCTCTTATCCAATCCCACTTTATGACACATGGAAGCAAAAGTAGTAATTGAAAGGTATTAAACAAAGGTATTAAACAAATTTTAATATGCTTATACATCAACAAATATGAAGATCTAACTACTAACAAGTAGCCAGCAGAAGACAGTGCCATGCAGTAGCATATTACTCGGGCCAGAAGTAATGGGAAAATGTAGGCAAGGAAGAAAATGATGGTTCTTCCAAATTTCTTGCAAGTTCCTAAAATACTTTTCTTTCAGTTGGGTATCTGTTTTAGAGATTGTCAACTCCTTTTAGACTGGCTGTGGATACTGATGTCTGCAAGTACCAAATCTAGACTGCAAGGTTTTACTGGGCCACTGTTGGCAGCAGAGAGATACATAAAACCATTTCCTGCCATCTTGTGGTCATCTGGCTTTTTGCATTCTATTTATAAAGTATCCTTGTGTCTTACTTTGTAGTACAATACAAAGACCTGTGCCTTCCATAGCAAAGCATAAATGATGAAGCTGTCGGTGTGTCGCATGGCACATGCTTTATTCTTTTATACCAACAAGTAAGATGTTTCTGATCACATCAGGTTTCCGTTCACCCAGTCTTCCCTTTGCATCTTAAATTGTGATATTTAGGCAAGACTTAAATTATAATCCTACTATCATGTCCATGTTTCCTCTGTGGGGAACTGTACCAACCAATATTTAATATCAAACACTTGTGGGGATTGCCTAGCTGGATTCAAGATACCTGGTGCTACTGTCATATGCACTAGCCATCACTTTTCAGTCCAACATAGCTTCTGAATAAAAGATACTTTCATAGCTGGGGTTAATTTTTAAACTGAAAAAGGGTATCTGGCATAAGAATGGGCAGTCTCTGCTAGCCTCTTTTTGGCCCAAGCAAGCAACGCAGAAATATGATTTGGC